AACGGTTTACACCACCAGTGTCATGACAGTGTAAACTGTTTACACCACCAATGTCATGACAGTGTAAACTGTTTACACCACCAGTGTCAGGCCAGTGTAAACTGTTTACACCACCAGTGTCAGGCCAGTGTAAACGGTTTACACCACCAGTGTCAGGCCAGTGTAAACTGTGTACACCATCAGTGTCAGGCCAGTGTAAACTGTTTACACCACCAGTGTCAGGCCAGTGTAAACTGTGTACACCATCAGTGTCAGGCCAGTGTAAACTGTTTACACCACCAGTGTCAGGCCAGTGTAAACTGTGTACACCATCAGTGTCAGGACAGTGTAAACTGTTTACACCACCAGTGTCAGGCCAGTGTAAACTGTGTACACCATCAGTGTCAGGACAGTGTAAATTGTTTACACCACCAGTGTCAGGCCAGTGTAAACTGTGTACACCATCAGTGTCAGGACAGTGTAAATTGTTTACACCACCAGTGTCAGGCCAGTGTAAACTGTGTACACCATCAGTGTCAGGACAGTGTAAATTGTTTACACCACCAGTGTCAGGACAGTGTAAACTGTTTACACCCGACACCAATGAGGTCACCGCCAGTGTTGCCAACCAGCTGTCATTAATATTTTTAGATGTTGCCTTTCACTTTAGTATACATGTTCCTTACGTCCAGCTGACACTCAAGTCCAGCTGACACTCAAGTCCAGCTGACACTCAAGTCCAGCTGACACTCACGTCCAGCTGACACTCAAGTCCAGCTGACACTCAAGTCCAGCTGACACTCAAGTCCAGCTGACACTCACGTCCAGCTGACACTCAAGTCCAGCTGACACTCACGTCCAGCTGACACTCAAGTCCAGCTGACACGTCCAGCTGACACTCACGTCCAGCTGACACTCAAGTCCAGCTGACACTCAAGTCCAGCTGACACTCAAGTCCAGCTGACACTCACGTCCAGCTGACACTCAAGTCCAGCTGACACTCAAGTCCAGCTGACACTCAAGTCCAGCTGACACTCACGTCCAGCTGACACTCAAGTCCAGCTGACACTCAAGTCCAGCTGACACTCACGTCCAGCTGACACTCACGTCCAGCTGACACTCAAGTCCAGCTGACACGTCCAGCTGACACTCACGTCCAGCTGACACTCAAGTCCAGCTGACACTCAAGTCCAGCTGACACTCAAATACAGCTGACACTCACGTCCAGCTGACACTCAAGTCCAGCTGACACTCAAGTCCAGCTGACACTCAAGTCCAGCTGACACTCAAGTCCAGCTGACACTCACGTCCAGCTGACACTCACGTCCAGCTGACACTCAAGTCCAGCTGACACTCAAGTCCAGCTGACACTCACGTCCAGCTGACACTCAAGTCCAGCTGACACTCAAGTCCAGCTCACTCAGTCCAGCTGACACTCAAGTCCAGCTGACACTCACGTCCAGCTGACACTCAAGTCCAGCTGACACTCACGTCCAGCTGACACTCAAGTCCAGCTGACACTCACGTCCAACTGACCCCCACGTCCAGCTGACACTCAAGTGACACTCAGTCCAACTGACACTCACGTCCAGCTGACACTCAAGTCCAGCTGACACTCACGTCCAACTGACACTCAAGTCCAGCTGACACTCACGTCCCTGACCACCAGCTGACACTCAAGTCCTGCTTCCTCACACTCAAGTCCTGCTGACTGTCCAGCTGACACTCAAGTCCAGCTGACACTCAAGTCCAGCTGACACTCACGTCCAGCTGACACTCAAGTCCAGCTGACACTCACGTCCAGCTGACACTCAAGTCCAGCTGACACTCAAGTCCTGCTGACACTCACGTCCAGCTGACACTCAAGTCCAGCTGACACTCACGTCCAACTGACCCCCACGTCCAGCTGACACCTCACGTCAACCTACCAGTGTGAGAGGTGAGGGAGGGAGAGTGTGTGAGAGAGAGAGGGTGAGGAGGGAGCCAGACAGGGTGTAATAAGAAGGGTTACATAACCAGGGTGTGCTCCAGGGCCACACCCACCCGCCCACCCGCCCACCAGGCCACCCACCCGCCCACCCGCCCACCAGGCCACCCACCCGCCCACCAGGGCCACACCCACCCGCCCACCAGGCCACCAGGCCACACCATGAAGAACTTTCACATATTTACATATATTATTATGGGCTGTGAGGACACATGTTTTTATTTGGTACGTTGACACGTGGTGTCAAGGGAGTACACATATTTAGTCCACTGGACACTGGTCGAGGGACACATAGTAACGCCCCTGGAAACAAACCAATAACAAATGTGTCCAGCCATGTGTCGGGGACCAGTATCGTGAGCCGCTAATGTGTGTCCTGGACACAGCTTCACGACACACCCATACATGTGTTATGTATCAATACTGATCAGTCTGATATTTGTTCAGGGTGTTCCTCTCATGTTCATGGTGTTCCTCTCATGTTCAGGGTGTTCCTCTCATGTTCATGGTGTTCCTCTCATGTTCAGGGTGTTCCTCTCATGTTCAGGGTGTTCCTCTCATGTTCATGGTGTTCCTCTCATGTTCAGGGTGTTCCTCTCATGTTCAGGGTGTTCCTCTCATGTTCAGGGTGTTCCTCTCATGTTCAGGGTGTTCCCCTCATGTTCAGGGTGTTCCTCCAACACTCAAGGCGTTCCTCCAACACTCAAGGTGTTCCTCCAACACTCAAGGCGTTCCTCCAACACTCAAGGTGTTCCTCCAACACTCAAGGTGTTCCTCCAACACTCAAGGTGTTCCTCCAACACTCAAGGCGTTCCTCCAACACTCAAGGTGTTCCTCCAACACTCAAGGTGTTCCTCCAACACTCAAGGTGTTCCTCCAACACTCAAGGCGTTCCTCCAACACTCAAGGTGTTCCTCCAACACTCAAGGTGTTCCTCCAACACTCAAGGCGTTCCTCCAACACTCAAGGTGTTCCTCCAACACTCAAGGTGTTCCTCCAACACTCAAGGTGTTCCTCCAACACTCAAGGCGTTCCTCCAACACTCAAGGCGTTCCTCCAACACTCAAGGCGTTCCTCCAACACTCAAGGCGTTCCTCCAACACTCAAGGCGTTCCTCCAACACTCAAGGTGTTCCTCCAACACTCAAGGTTCCTCCAACACTCAAGTTCCTCCAACACTCAAGGTGTTCCTCCAACACTCAAGGCGTTCCTCCAACACTCAAGGTGTTCCTCCAACACTCAAGGCGTTCCTCCAACACTCAAGGCGTTCCTCCAACACTCAAGGCGTTCAAGGTGTTCCTCCAACACTCAAGGCGTTCTCCAACACTCAAGGGCACTCAAGGCGTTCCTCCAACACTCAAGGCGTTCCTCCAACACTCAAGGTGTTCCTCCAACACTCAAGGCGTTCCTCCAACACTCAGGCGTTCCTCCAACACTCAAGGCGTTCCTCCAACACTCAAGGCGTTCCTCCAACACTCAAGGCGTTCCTCCAACACTCAAGGTGTTCCTCCAACACTCAAGGCGTTCCTCCAACACTCAAGGTGTTCCTCCAACACTCAAGGCGTTCCTCCAACACTCAAGGTGTTCCTCCAACACTCAAGGTGTTCCTCCAACACTCAAGGCGTTCCTCCAACACTCAAGGTGTTCCTCCAACACTCAAGGCGTTCCTCCAACACTCAAGGCGTTCCTCCAACACTCAAGGTGTTCCTCCAACACTCAAGGCGTTCCTCCAACACTCAAGGTGTTCCTCCAACACTCAAGGTGTTCCTGAATGATGTTTGCACATCATTGGCTTAGGATTAATTAAAATATATCACATTTGGCTAGTGAAATAGAACATTTTAGGCTTTAAATTCCCAGGTGGGCAGAGCGGTGCACTTACACTCCAGGCGGGACCAAAGAGCTGAAGGTCAACCCGCGTAAGCACAACTAGGTGAGTGTTAGTACCTTAGTGGTTCTTGGTTCGGTTCTTCACAGTGACGACTTTTTCTCACCTTGAGAATAATGTGAGACAATTTTGTTGTTTGAGATTGACACCTGAAACACGTCTTCTGCAGTGTTGTCAGGTGTGTAGAGGCAACATGTGTGGACACATGTGTGTAGAGGCAACATGTGTGGACACACGTGTGTAGAGGCAACATGTGTGGACACACGTGTGTAGAGGCAACATGTGTGGACACACGTGTGTAGAGGCAACATGTGTGGACACACGTGTGTAGAGGCAACATGTGTGTGGGCACATGTGTGTAGAAGCAACATGTGTGGACACAGGTGGTGGTTCATGCCCTGGTGTCCACCACCTGCGCTGTGACCTGCGCCGTGACCTGCGCTGTGACCTGCGCCGTGACCTCACACACATGTCCATATACACAACATTATATATCTTACATGTGTTAGGTTAGGGCACGATAAGCTAGACTAGGTCACCCCCCGTTGGGCCGGCTGATGTCTTAAACCCTATACCTCATTTTCTCCAACTTCTCCTCCTACAAAGAACGTCGCTTTTCGCACGTATGCGTTACATACGGCCAAAAATTGTCGTACTGGGAAATGAAAGCGGCTGGCGAAAGTGACGTACTGTCCCGTTTTCTGTTTTGGGGTCCTCTGGTAGGTTAGGATAAGGGCACTTTTTTACAAAAACTTTTCTTGACGAAGGGAAACCTGAGGACGGACTGCTCACATGCCCACCACACCCACTCACCCTCCCTCACCCACACCCTCCCCCCCACCCCACTACACCCACACACACACACCCCCTTCTCTCACGATACAAACATACATATCCTGCCTTAACAAAGTGTAATATGAAGTGTTGGCTCTAAGTGTCCAGACTCACGTCACCTCAACTGACTAAGCCTTGTTTAAAGCTCTTCCAACAAAATTACAAACCCATCTGGGTGGCATCACCGAGGGGCGGGATGGTATAAACAAGAATTAATTCACAAGAATGTTAAGTCCGGCAGCAGGTGAGCTCCTGCACCGCTAGTGAGCGAACACGACGACTACCATAACATGTGTGTAGATGTAGTACTCACTGGTGGCCGTAGGGACGAGCCTGACCTCAGTAACCGAGAAGGAAAGGACCCAACCAGCTCCTTACAAGACCAAGATGGTGACTGAGGACTGGGCGCCCCGGCCAGCCGTGCCCCCGTGCCCCGCCCTGCCCGACCACGCACTTCCACCAGTTTCCACACGCCTTAATGTTTAATTATTTGTCCACTCGCCTAGCACCTGAGAGAGGGCTCGGTTGTGCACACAGCCTGTCCCAGCCGACCTACACAAGCACTCGTGTAGAAGCAGACGTTCCTTACCAGATGGCGGCCTGCAACACCAGTCTCCTTGTAGAAACCTGTGCGGCGCTGCAACTGGCGGAGCAGGACAGTGGAGCAGTCTTTAGACAGTTTTAACAACGGGTGAGTGCCGAGGAAGCTGGGGAAAGGTCGAGCAGCAGGCACACACCGAGGGAGCCTAGAGGAAGGGTCGAGCAGCAGGCACGCACCGAGGGAGTCTAGAGGAAGGGTCGAGCAGCAGGCACACACCGAGGGAGTCTAGAGGAAGGGTCGAGCAGCAGGCACGCACCGAGGGAGTCTAGAGGAAGGGTCGAGCAGCAGGCACACACCGAGGGAGTCTAGAGGAAGGGTCGAGCAGCAGGCACACACCGAGGGAGCCTAGAGGAAGGGTCGAGCAGCAGGCACACACCGAGGGAGCCTAGAGGAAGGGTCGAGCAGCAGGCACGCACCGAGGGAGTCTAGAGGAAGGGTCGAGCAGCAGGCACACACCGAGGGAGTCTAGAGGAAGGGTCGAGCAGCAGGCACACACCGAGGGAGTCTAGAGGAAGGGTCGAGCAGCAGGCACACACCGAGGGAGCCTAGAGGAAGGGTCGAGCAGCAGGCACGCACCGAGGGAGACTAGAGGAAGGGTCGAGCAGCAGGCACGCACCGAGGGAGTCTAGAGGAAGGGTCGAGCAGCAGGCACACACCGAGGGAGCCTAGAGGAAGGGTCGAGCAGCAGGCACGCACCGAGGGAGCCTAGAGGAAGGGTCGAGCAGCAGGCACGCACCGAGGGAGCCTAGAGGAAGGGTCGAGCAGCAGGCACGCACCGAGGGAGTCTAGAGGAAGGGTCGAGCAGCAGGCACACACCGAGGGAGCCTAGAGGAAGGGTCGAGCAGCAGGCACGCACCGAGGGAGCCTAGAGGAAGGGTCGAGCAGCAGGCACACACCGAGGGAGCCTAGAGGAAGGGTCGAGCAGCAGGCACGCACCGAGGGAGCCTAGAGGAAGGGTCGAGCAGCAGGCACACACCGAGGGAGCCTAGAGGAAGGGTCGAGCAGCAGGCACGCACCGAGGGAGTCTAGAGGAAGGGTCGAGCAGCAGGCACACACCGAGGGAGTCTAGAGGAAGGGTCGAGCAGCAGGCACGCACCGAGGGAGTCTAGAGGAAGGGTCGAGCAGCAGGCACGCACCGAGGGAGTCTAGAGGAAGGGTCGAGCAGCAGGCACACACCGAGGGAGCCTAGAGGAAGGGTCGAGCAGCAGGCACGCACCGAGGGAGTCTAGAGGAAGGGTCGAGCAGCAGGCACGCACCGAGGGAGCCTAGAGGAAGGGTCGAGCAGCAGGCACGCACCGAGGGAGCCTAGAGGAAGGGTCGAGCAGCAGGCACACACCGAGGGAGCCTAGAGGAAGGGTCGAACAGCAGGCACACACCGAGGGAGCCTAGAGGAAGGGTCGAGCAGCAGGCACACACCGTGGGAGCCTAGAGGAAGGGTCGAGCAGCAGGCACACACCGTGGGAGCCTAGAGGAAGGGTCGAGCAGCAGGCACGCACCGAGGGAGCCTAGAGGAAGCGTCGAGCAGCAGGCACACACCGAGGGAGCCTAGAGGAAGCGTCGAGCAGCAGGCACGCACCGAGGGAGCCTAGAGGAAGGGTCGAGCAGCAGGCACACACCGAGGGAGCCTAGAGGAAGGGTCGACAAAGCAGGGGAAGAACTGACAAAGCCGCGGAAGGACGCAGGCGAAGGAATCTAGCATGATAGTGTGAAGGCAGCTTGGGGGCCACACCATCCGGAGACAGGACCTACATACCGATGTTATACACTACACAGAGAGGCGGATATATTGCGCCTATTGATAAATGCAAGACGTTGCATGTAAGGCATAACAATATGCATCACAACTATAAAATCATCAACACTGCCATGCAACACATTGCAGAAGAGAAGGACCCGGGAGTCATACATTAGACGTTGCACAACAAGTGGGAGCTCCAGTGAAAATAAAAGCCAACCAAACCCTAGAAATAGTCAAGCGAACCTTTGACTCCAAGGAGAAGAAGAGGGGATTCTACTGTACTCTGTATTCATTCCATTGTACCACTGTACTCCACTGTACCACTGTACCATTGTATCACTGATTCCACTGTACTCTGGTGTGCCTCTCTTCCCTTATTAGTGTACTGTATCTCAGCATGGAGACAGAGGACTAAGGAGACTTTGAGGAGCCGGTGGCTGAGCGGACAGCACACTGGACGCGTGATCATGTGGTCCCGGGTTCTATCCCAGGCGCCGGGGAGAAACAATGGGCAGAGTTTCTTTCACCCCGATGCTCCTGTTACCTAGCAGTAAAATAGGTACCTGGGTGTTAGTCAGCTGTCACGGGCTGCTTCTTGGGCGTGGAGGCCTGGTCGAGGACCGGGCCGCGGGGACAGTAAAGCCCCAAAATCATCTCAAGATAACCTCAAGATGGTCGAGGACCGGGCCGCGGGGACACTAAAGCCCCGAAATCATCTCAAGATAACCTCAAGATGGTCGAAGACCGGGCCGCGGGGGCACTAAAGCCCCAAAATCATCTCAAGATAACCTCAAGATGGTCGAGGACCGGGCCACGGGGACACTAAAGCCCCAAAATCATCTCAAGATAACCTCAAGATGGTCGAGGACCGGGCCGCGGGGACACTAAAGCCCCGAAATCATCTCAAGATAACCTCAAGATGGTCGAGGACCGGGCCACGGGGACACTAAAGCCCCAAAATCATCTCAAGATAACCTCAAGATGGTCGAGGACCGGGCCGCGGGGACACTAAAGCCCCGAAATCATCTCAAGATAACCTCAAGATGGTCGAGGACCGGGCCGCGGGGACACTAAAGCCCCGAAATCATCTCAAGATAACCTCAAGATGGTCGAAGACCGGGCCACGGGGACACTAAAGCCCCAAAATCATCTCAAGATAACCTCAAGATGGTCGAGGACCGGGCCGCGGGGACACTAAAGCCCCGAAATCATCTCAAGATAACCTCAAGATGGTCGAGGACCGGGCCGCGGGGACACTAAAGCCCCGAAATCATCTCAAGATAACCTCAAGATGGTCGAGGACCGGGCCGCGGGGACACTAAAGCCCCGAAATCATCTCAAGATAACCTCAAGATGGAGACCTCATCTTCAAGAGGACATATCCCGCCTTAGATCAAGCACAACGCAGAGCAACAAAACTCCTCCCAGAACTAAGTCAGGTCCCACCGTCACGTGCCACAAGGCTAACAACACTACACATGGGACATGACAAGGCGGGTGTCAGTCTTCTTGAGGTTATCTTGAGATGATTTCGGAGCTTTTAGTGTCCCCGCGGCCCGGTCCTCGACCATCTTGAGGTCATCTTGAGATGATTTCGGAGCTTTTAGTGTCCCCGCGGCCCGGTCCTCGACCATCTTGAGGTTATCTTGAGATGATTTCGGAGCTTTTAGTGTCCCCGCTGCCCGGTCCTCGACCATCTTGAGGTTATCTTGAGATGATTTCGGAGCTTTTAGTGTCCCCGCGGCCCGGTCCTCGACCATCTTGAGGTTATCTTGAGATGATTTCGGAGCTTTTAGTGTCCCCGCGGCCCGGTCCTCGACCATCTTGAGGTTATCTTGAGATGATTTCGGAGCTTTTAGTGTCCCCGCGGCCCGGTCCTCGACCAGACCTTCACCCCCAGGAAGCAGCCCGTGACAGCTGACTAACTCCCAGGTACCTATTTTACTGCTAGGTAACAGGGCATCAGGGTGAAAGAAACTAGGTAACAGGGGCACAAACACAAAGTTTGTGTCGCACAAACTTATAAAATACTGAACCAAATTGAAGATATTAATCCAGACCACTTCTTTAAAGGTCACTTGTGAGACGTAAGAAAGGCAACAGATACAATTTCATCAACAAACGGGTCACACTGTACGAGATGCTTCTACACACACACACAGGGTTATAAACCCATGGAACCGCCTACCCGCTCAAGCCGTAAATGTTAAAACATTACTTCAGTTCAAAATACAATTGGAAAAAAAATATAAAAAAAATGAGGAACCTTTCACAAGCCGCCGGCTTCCTGTCCTCGTCGTGGCCACTAAATAGAAGGTGGTTCTCAGGTAAACTAAGGAAGGTCATTTAAATTAATTTAATAAATTTGGCTAGACAAGGCGTAATAAAATCCTATATAATATAATAGAAAGCTTTATCATTCCATAAGAAGATTAGACAAATAAATAATTTTAGGAAACTCGGCTTGTTAGGTAAACCGGACCTTACTTACTAAGCCAAGTGGTGCATTCTAGCTATTAGAATTCTGAAAATTTAGATATGCAAGAAAGAAGACCTAAAATATCCATTAACAATAAAGAGGATTGAAGGCCAACTTTATTATGCTGTACTCAATTAGGTGAGTACCAGTTGTACTCACCTAGTTGTGCTTGCGGGGGTTGAGCTCTGGCTCTTTGGTCCCGCCTCTCAACCGTCAATCAACTGGGGTACAGGTTCCTGAGCCTATTGGGCTCTATCATATCTACACTTGAAACTGTGTATGGAGTCAGCCTCCACCACAACAATGCCTAATGCATTCCATTTCTTAACTACTCTGACACTGAAAAAGTTCTTTCTATTGTCTCTGTGGCTCATGTGGGTACTCAGTTTCAATCTGTGTCCCCTTGTTCGTGTTCCACCCGTGTTAAAGAGTTTGTCTTTGTCCACCCTGTCAATTCTTCTGAGAATTTTGTAGGGTGGTGGTTTCATCATAGCTCATGTCTCTCATTTCCGGGACCAGTCTGGTGGCATACCGCTGAATCTTTTTTTAACTATGTCTTGTGTTCAACTAGGTACGGACTCCAGACTGGAGCTGCATATTCCAGGATTGGTCTGACATAAGTG